CGAGAGAGATTTCTTCCAACAAGTTTAGGCAAATTGTTTAAAAACCCATTAAAACTTGATCATTACCAGGATGTTAGAGAAAAGGTCATTCGAGATAAATGTTATTATGAAAACTGTATCAATTTCCACCATAATGCATCGTCAAAAAGGTTCCACAACAGATTCTGAATGTTACGAAATCTAACACTATTCCTTCATTCTGGAAGGGCTGAGAAATCTATTACAAAGTTACTCTATTCTTCTGTTTCTTCTTACCATAAACAATCAGAACACTTCTCTAATGGACTTTATTCAATCCAGATAGCCATGTTGTTTCTAAACCAGAGTTATCATTTTCACTTTTTGCGAATCTCAATGGTGGCCTAGTCGTTTTGTGGCCAGCGATGAGTTCAACGTGTACTATCATCTGGGTCCGGCTACATTAAAGTATCTTGGGGAGCTTTAAGAGCATCCGCACCATTATGTAACAACTTTGGGTCTTTCCTCTCCATTGGGCTATCACCAAAAACTTTAGTGAAGCGTGTCCATGAGCTTCCACTGACCATTTCTGAAGGTGCTACAGAAATCTTCAGCATCAAGTCTGCCAACCGAGATTAAATTAGAATGCATGTCTGGTACATGCACAAAATCTTTTAGAATTAATCTCGAGCCATTTTTTGTCTCCAAGCAAATGTCTCCCTTCCCGACGACTTTCAACAGTTTGTCGTCCGCTATCTTGACCACACCTAGATTGTCTGGTGTGTAAGTTGAAAATTTTTCTCTCTGGGATATTGCATAAAGTGTAGCCCCACTATCAATTACCCAACTGGTCTCTTGGGTTGCAAGGTTGATAGTGTCTTCAACGAACAATTGGAACTCAGCAATAACATTAGCTTCATCATCACTGTTTTCTTCTTTCTTTGCTTTGCCTTGGATCTTCTCTTGATCACTTTTGAACTTTCGGCAATACCTTTAATGTGCCCCTTCTTCCCACAGTGATGGCCCCTTCTTCCCACAGTGATGGCACACAATATTGGCAAATCTGTTTGATTTACCCCTGCTCTTATCTCTTTTATTTGAACTTTTAGATTGGCTCCTCCCTCTGGGCTAATTATTCCTTTTAGCATCTGCTAAAAGAATGTCTGACTGAGATGAAGAATTATGTGTTTTATGTCTCATTTCGTCATTCAAAATAACATTTTTAACAAATTTCCAGCTAACTCCACTATGTGGTGTAGAGTTTGTTATTGATATCTTCAAAGTCTCCCATGACTCTACTCTAGTAAGGAGGCAAGCACCATAAGACCGAGGATTTTATCATCAAATTTTATGCCCATATTTAACAGCTGGTGAATAGTTGCCTGCATTTCACTTAAGTAATCTGCTACAGAATTACCTTCTTGGTATTTGAAATTCATCAACTTCGTCAAATAGAACTCTTGATTATTGCCGGATTTTGAGGCATATAGCTCTTCAAGCTCGTTCCATAATGTTCTGGCATGAGTCTCGTTACAAATGTGGTTGTACACATTGTCATCGACAAATTGTGGATTATAGCCACAAACTTGCTCATGTTCAAAAGCCCATTCTTCATCAGTCTTGTCTTCGGTTTACTTGAACTATACACAGGCAGATGCATTTTGGTTACCATAAGGAGATCTCTCATTTTATTGCACAGATGGCATTTGTTTTTTTTGGTTACCCATATAAGGGAATCTCGTCTCATTTTATTGTCTTCCAATATAGGTAATTTTTACGCAGCCAATAGACCTGATCATATTTTTTGATTTTTGATCTTCATTTTATTTCTCCATATATGGTAATTTACGCCATTTAGACTGATCATTTTGTTTGTCTTAGCCTCCATAACTTTTGAGTGAATAGTACCCGTATACATAAATAGTACCAGTATACATAAATCGTAACTTTTGATCGCTAAGTCGATTCTGCAGCGTCTTTCCGAGCGGACAGCACTAATGAATTCGTTGTAATTTTCTCTTTGTCGTGGTATATTTATTTTTGAAATATATCCACGGATCCGGTACCGCTATCTAACCGGTTGGACCTGTCAAAACTTTCGGCTCTGATACCACTTGTTAGGGCTCCAGCAATAAAAAATTACGAAAATAATTACGCAGCGAAAAAATAAAAATATGACATAGAGAAATTTAACGTGGTTCACCCTTAACTGTTTAGGACTACATCTACGGGACCCTTCTTATATAATTCTTCTACTATTAAAAATAGTAAGCTTACCAAGCGAGTAATATAAAAATAGTGGCATTCAAAATTATTTTTCAAAAACACCCAAATTATCCTCGCTATTTTTCCATGCTCTAGTTTTAGGACCCTTCTTACAACTCAATAACTCTCTCCCTCTCAAACACAAAATTTTCCTTCTCTTATGTGTTTTATTTTGTTTTCTTCTTGTTGGTGTGCCTTTGGTTGAGGTAATCTTTTCCGGTGTATAGGAGAAGAGGACGCGTCCATTACTTTCTCCTTTTTCTTTTTTTATTCTTTTTCAAAAGTGTGTTGAGTGGCACCGCCGCAACAAAGTTTAGCATCAATCCTTCTTTATTGATCATCTTCGTAAATTTGATAAAGAGCCAGGGAAAGGAAACCAACAGCCAATGAACCATGTTCATTAATGACTAAGAATTGAAAAAAAGTGGCATGCATGATCCCAAAAAACTCATCCTAGTGATTTTGATTGAAGTAAAGATCCAATCTTTTCCAATTCTAACGATTCATAACTCAAAGCCACACGCTCTCAAAAGAAAGCCCAAGAACAAAACACGCTTATCTCTTGGTTTTGTAGTATTTCAGTTTACCTCTCTCCGCCTCTCAATTCCTCCAAAAACTTTCTTGTGATCTTGCATAATGGCCGGCAAAGGCAAAGTACCGGCTATTGGAATCGATTTGGGTACTACCTACTCCTGTGTTGGTGTTTGGCAACATGATAGAGTTGAGATCATAGCCAATGACCAAGGGAACAGAACTACACCGTCTCAAGTTGCATTTACCGATAGCGAACGTTTGATTGGTGATGCTGCTAAAAACCAGGTCGGCATGAACCCCGTCAATACAGTCTTCGGTCAGTATTTCTTTTAAACAGCTTCTGTTAATAAGTTTAGTCAATAAAATTCGAGAATTGGTTAAGTTTAAATGGTCAAATTTGTTCGTGTATTAATGCTTGTAGCATTGATGTTTGATGGAAGTTTAAGAGTCTATAAGGCTTTATATGTGTTATCTCGTGTAGCCTTTTAATTTCCATTCATTGTTCAGGCTCTCTCTATTGTGCTGCATTTACTAAATGGTATTCTTATGTCGCAGATGCAAAGCGGTTGATTGGTAGGAGATTTAGTGACACTTCAGTTCAGGATGACATCAAGCTCTGGCCTTTCAAGGTTATTTCAGGACCTGGTGATAAGCCCGTGATTGTTGTAAACTACAAGGGTCAGGAGAAGCTGTTTGCTGCTGAGGAAATCTCTTCCATGGTTCTCAGTAAAATGCGTGAGATTGCTGAGGCATACCTTGGTACTACAGTGAAGAATGCAGTGGTCACAGTCCCTGCATATTTCAATGACTTTCAGAGGCAGGCGACCTTCGCTGAACTGGAAGTGTTGCTAAAATCTCTTACCAAAGCTCCCGTGATCTATATGCCGTGCTTTAATTGACCTATCACTATGCGAGGGCATAAGAACTAAGGAGACATTACTGTAAAGCAGCACAATAGGAGAGAGCCTGAAACAATGAATTTGCTGCTGAGAAATCTCTTCCATGGTTCTCAGTAAAATGCGGTGAGATTGCTGAGGAATACCTTGGTACTACAGTGAAGAATGCAGTGGTCCAACAGTCCCCTGCATTTCAATACTTCCAAGGCAGGCTAACAAAGGATGCCGGTGATAATTGCTGGTTCAATGTTCATGCGTATCATCAAATGAGCCACAGCTGTCTGCCATTACATGGTTCTTGACCCATGATGGCAACCAGTGAACGATGAGAAAGAATGTGTTGATTTTTTTTTGATTTGGGTGGTGGGTACTTTATTTGATGTCTATTGCTCACAATTAAAGACCGGTATCTTTTGGAGTCAAGCCATGGCTGGAGACACCATTCGGAGGTGGAGGACATTGAACAGAGTGGGTGAACCACCTTGTTCAAGAATTTAAGAGGAAGAACAAGAAAGACATCAGTGGAAACCCAAGAGCTCTTGGGAGGCTGAGAACTGCTTGTGAGAGGGCAAAGAGGGCTCTTTCCTTCACTGCTGTGGCAACTATTGAAATTGATTTTTTGTACGAGGGTACTGATTTCTACTCGACCATGACTCGAGCCAAATTTGAGGAGCTTAATATGGATCTTTTCAGAAAATGTATGGAGCACGTGGAAAAATGTCTGGGGGATGCTAAGATGGACAACAGCAGTGTGCATGATGTTGTTCTTGTTGGTGGATCCACCAGGATTCCCAAGGTGCAGCAGCTATTGCAAGATTTCTTTAATGGGAAGGGAACGGACTTGCAAGAGTATTAACCCAATGAAGCCGTTGCTTTTTTGGTGCTGCTGTCCAGGGCCCTGCCATCTCGAAGTGGTGAAGGCATGAGAAGTCCAGGATCTTGTGTTGTTTGGATGTTACCCCCTGTCCCTTGGTCGGATCTTGTGTTGTTGGATGTTACCCCCCTGTCCCTTGGTCTGAAAATTATTGGTGGTGTCATGTCAGTTTTGATCCCAAGAAACACAACAATTCCCGCAAAGAAGGAAAGATTTTTCACCACCGTCATTGACGACCAACCTAAAGTTTTGATTCAGGTCTACGAGGGTGAGAGAAGCAGAACAAAGGACAACAACTTGCTCGGTAAATTTGAGCTCTGCGGCATCCAACCAGCACCAAGAGGGGTTCCTGAGATTACTGTTTGCTTTTGTATTGATGCCAATGGCATCTTGAATGTCTCAGCTGAGGATAAGACCACTGGCCAAAAGAACAATATCTCAATTACAAGTGATAAGGGTAGGTTGTCCGAGGAAGAAATTGAGAAGATGATCCTGGAGGCTCAGAAGTACAAGGCCGAAGATGAGGAGCACAAGAAAAATGTGGAGGCAATGAATGCTTTGGAGTACCATGCCTACAACATGAGGAACACTGTCAAGGATGAGAAGATCAGTTCCAAGTTGGCCGCCGGTGATAAGAAAAAGATTAAGGATGCTGTTTATACGACCATTCAGTGGCTAGGCAGAAACCAGCTTGCAAAGGCAGAGGAGTTTGAGGACAAAATGAAAGCGCTTAAGAGCATATGCAATCCCATCATTGCCAAGATGTATGGTGCTGACATGGGTGGCGGCATGGAAGATGACGTTCCTCCAGCAGGTGGCAGTGGTGCTAAGTGGCTTGTTTGATGCTTGAGTAAAGATGGTGATGAATATTTTATTTTCTTTATTGGTCAGTAATGCTTGAGTAAAGATGGTGATGAATATTTTATTTTCTTTATTGGTCAGTATGATTATTATTATTATTATTATAATATTTCTACTTTTAAGACATTATATCAACGACTTATCCAATTTTTATTGTCGAGATATTAGCTTTATTTTCAAGTTTTGCTACATCAATGGCTTCTGGGTTTATTTAATTTGCGATTGGAAAAGCCAGTGCATATTATTTGTTGTCTATTGCTGGTTTTTGTTTTATTTCCAATTTGTGGCCATTTACTATTAGCGGGCATTGGTAGATTTGGTTCCAAGCTAATTGTTTGTCGAAACAGTTGTAGTTACCTTAGCAGTGATTCAATATATCATTGCATATGCAAATTTAGGTGCTTGAGCAAAGGCGATTTAGTTTTAAAATGGTGTGCAATATAATGTCAAGCGCATCAACGATGATTATGACTTGAAACGATGGCTGACGAGCTGTATGCTTTTCGTATTGCTTGCTTATGGGATATGGGATCTTAAGATGCTCTATCGTTGCTGTTATTTTAGCTCAGTTATTCAAACTTTGGTTTCTCAATTGGATTGTCTCTTTTCTAGAAAATACACTGTTGGGAATGTTCTTCTACGAAATTCATTTCATTTGTAAATTAGTTTTATTAAAAATTTATTCGCAATATATCTGTAGCATTAAATTAATTAAATTAAATATTCAACCTTATTTTTTCTATTAATTTTAGTAAAAGAATTGATATATTAATTTCAATACCAAGGTCATCCTTTATTACTGAACTATGAACCTTTTCCACCACATCAAATCCCTTGCCATCATCTGAGAGCATATATGCATCCTGCTCAAAGTAATCACCCATTTTGGTGATGAGACCCTTACCTAAGCGCGTCAAAAGCCATCAATAAACATACTGAATTGCATAAAAGGTTGGTTTATTAGGTTTCTGGTTTTTTTAAAAGCTTCATCTACCTTGGTTCATAACAAGTAAAGATATGCAGATTCTCCTTTAGATACTATACAAAACTTTACCATCTCAATACTCAGGAAAAAACTTCAGAAATGATACTATTGACATTCTATAACAATTGTGCCAATCTTTACATTCTATAACAAGAAAGATACGAAAACAGTTGATGTTGTTGGAGCAAACTAAGAAATAACAGAGGAAAAAAAAGAATATTGCAGTGTACTTTTTTTATTAACTGCAAATGTGCTTAAATACAACAAAAAAAGAATAATAGAAATTCCTATATTTCAGCTCAATCATGGAACATGCCTCCATGTTTAACAACTCAAGCTAGAAAAATGGAAATGATGACTAAAATGCAGTAGAACAAGTCAAAACATAACAGAAAAAGAAAAAATGCAGCAACTAAATTGGAAGTGCAGCAGCTAAGTCAACTTCTTAACACTCCTCCTTGGCTTTGATGCTGCAAACTCCAAGTTTTTCTTGGATTGGCGCGACTCAGTTTTTTCCCCTTAGAACTCAAATTGCCTTCTTTCCAAAGATTTGTAAGCTGTTGCAACATTGGTCATCAGTTTTGCAATATTTAATGAACCAAAACCTTCCTTCTTTCTGCAACGTATCTAAGGAAGGAAAAACAATTTGATATTAAAGTGTTTCTTTTTTCCATGAAAAACGGGTTTGTTTGAGATAGCTATTGCTGCTTGGTTATCCACAAACACATCTGTGCCTTCATTTTGCTTCAGGGTCAGATCAAATAACACCTTTCTAAGCCATAAAGCTTGATTTGTAGCAGCTGTAGCTGCAATAAACTCTGCCTCCGCAGTTGATTGTGCAACAACTTCTTGTTTTTTACAACACCAAGAGAACATTCCTGACCCAGATTAAAACAATAACCTGAAGTACTCTTCATATCATCAGAACCACCATGATCACTATCAGAATAGCCTTGAACATGAAACTAACTGGCACCGAACTTGATTCCATGCTTCAATGTTCCTTTCACATATCTTAGAACTCTTTTAGCAGCAGAAAAATGAGTTTCAGTAGCACAATTCGTAAATCGAGATAGCAGACTCACAAAATGTAAGATGTCAGGTCTTGTGGCAGTTAAATACATCAAACAACCCACTAGACTTCTGTAAAGAGTTTCATCAACCTCATCAACTTTTCCGCTACAATCTTTCCTTTTGCTGAGCTTTAACATTTTTTACCCATAGGAAGTTGTAGCAATCTTGCACTCATCCATCTGAATTTTCTTCAGAAATTCTCTAGCATCTTTGGTTTGCATGAACACTCTTTCTCCTTTGTTGAACCTCCATTCCAAGAAAAATATTGCCATTTCCCCCCAAAGGTCCCAGTCATCTCAAAAGGTCCTTGTGCCATATCTTTCTTGAAATTTATTCCCACAAAGTTCCAATTGCTTCCCGTAACAAGTAGTCTCCACATAACAGGGAAAATAACAAAATTGATCTCATCACCTTTGATGCAGAGGGTAGCCTCATTGAGACTTTTTTTGAATCCCAACTGCATCAAATGCTCATCAATTCTGCTATACCAGGCCCTTAGTGCCTGTTTCAGGCCGTATAGTGCTTTTTTGAGCAAATAAACATCTTCTTGCTCTTTCACAACAAACCCCTCAGGTTGTTCAACGTAGATCTCATCCTCGAGAAGACCATTTAGAAATGCTGACTTGACATCTAACTGGTACACTTTCCAACCCTTTTGAGTAGCAACCTGATTGTTTCAATTCTGGCAACAAGAGCAAATGTGTCAGAAAAATCAACACCAGGCATTTGAGCATAACCTTTCACAACAAGCCTTGCTTTATGCTTATTTATAGAGCCATCTCCATTAAGCTTTGTTTTGAATACACACTTTACTCCAATCACCTTTCTGTCATCAGGTCTTTTTACCAACTGCCATGTTTTATTTTTTTTCAATCATACTCAACTCCTCCTCCATTGCAGCTACCCATTTTTTATCTCTTTTTGCCTCCTGAAAATTTTCTGGTTCCAAGACCACAATATTGCACTTCTGATAGATTTCAGAAAGTGATCTTGTGCCTCTGATAGGTTCTTCATCAACCAAATCAGTTTTGGATAGCTCTAGCAACTTTAAATCTTGACTTGGAATTGTAATAGCCTGATCTCCTTTCCAATTCCATTTAGCATCTTCCATAAAATGCACATCTCTGCTTATCAGAATTTTTCTTGTATCAGGTTGAAAAACTCTATAAGCCTTTGAAACTGAACTGTATCCCACAAAGATTCCAGCTTCAGCTTTTCTGTCGAGCTTGTCTCTTTTAATCTGAGGCACATAAGTGAAACACAAGCAGCCAAACACTCTTAAGCAGCCAACACTCTAATTTTTTTAAAGAGGGTTTGTAACCATACCAAGCCTTAAAAGGTGTCTTCCCATCAACTGCCTTTGTAGGAAGTCGGTTCAGCAGAAACACAAAAGTGTTAGCAGCCTCTGCCCAGTATTCTTTTGGCAACTCCTTTTCATGAAGCAAGCACCTGGCCATCTCCATCACTGTACGATTTTTATGTTCACTGACTCCATTTTGCTAAGGAGTATATAGAGCAGTGAGTTGATGTTCAATTCCAGCCTCTTCACAGAACTCACTGAAAGTTGCAGACGTGTACTCCTTCCCATTATCAGACCTCAATGTCTGAATTTTGCAGCCACTTTGTGTTTCAATCTAGTTCTTGAATTTCCAGAACACACCAGCCACTTTTGATTTGAATCTGAGAAAATATATCCAGCACATTCTGCTATAATCATCAATGAAAAGCAGATAATACTTACTCCCATTAAGTGAAGGAGTTCTATGAGGACCTATGAGGACCAGCACAATCAAGTATGAATCAACTGAAGCATTTTTTTATGCTCTCCAAGTGAGCTTTCTTGTGAAAGGAAGCCTTGATTGCTTTCCATATTGGCAAGCCTTGCATTCTGGCAGTTCAACTTCAAGATTAGGCAAACCTCGAACAAGTTCATTCTTTTGCATATTCACCACTACTCTATGATGAAAATGACCCAGCCTTTTATACCACACTTCTGCATTCATTGTTGTTGCTGAGTAGACTGATTGCTTTGCCTGTAGAAAATCTAGTGCAAAACTCCTCTTTCAGGCTCACTTTGAACATATCTTCATCTTTTGAGTTTTTGATTAAGCAATGATTGCTCTCAAAAAACACTTTAAAACCATTTTCAAGAAGCTGACCAACACTCATCAAATTTTGAGTAATGTTAGGTACAAATAACACTTCTTGAATAAACTTTGTACCTGTTGAAGTATCTACTGCAACTGTGCCTATCCCTTTCGCTGCGATATATTCTCCATTACCAATCTTTACTTTGGAAATGAATGACGTATCCAGCTCCTCTTTACTTTGGAAATGAATGACGTATCCAGCTCCTTGAATATATCCCTATCAAAGGTCATGTGGTTGGTGCAAGCACTAGCAATGAGCCATTTGTCACTTGAATGACTTACTACAAGACAAGTAGCTACATGTAACGTCCCATTTTTCTATTGAATCGAGTTGTTGCTTAGAGTCGAGTCGGGCTGATCCAAAACCCGGTTCGAGCTATTAGAGTCCAGAGTGGGGAGTCCAGAGTGGGGGTAGAAATGGGAGGTAATTGAAATCGGATTAAGAAGTGGACTTACTTGAAGAAAACAAAAAAGATGCAAAGTAAATTAAGAGTAGGACTTGCTTGCACTAAATAATAAAGGTGAAGGTTCTTGAGTTGTACCATTGAGGACACCCTTGAGTACCATTTGGTAATTTTACACACAAAATCATGATATATTTTGGAGATGTAACCCGAGACTTTGTCCATTTCAACTTTCCCATTTTTCATCTTTATCTTCTTCATCTCCTTTATTCATCTTCCATCTCCTTCATTCCACTTCCTTTACCTTACTTTCCCTTCCCTTTCTCCATCAAATTTTCATGGGATTCAAATTTTCATGGGATTCAAGCATTAATTCAACTTCTATTTTATCCAAGTAGAATTTCTTGAAGCTCTATGTTATTCAACCTCTAATTTAGTTATATTGTTGATGTTTCATCAAAGTTCTTATGTATAGGAGAGGGGAGCTCAAAGGTAGAAGAAATAGGAAGCTTAAAAGAAGAGTTCAAGCTTTTTGGAGTGAAGGTGTGCTATCTCTTTTAGTTTAATTAATTTCCTTGCATGAGAATTTATGCGTTGTGTTGAAAATGAGAAGATATGTTGCTTAATGTTGAGTAAGATGACTGAAAATGGTGAAAAAGCATGAGATGAAATGAATAAATGAAGTAGATATTGAGATATTGAGTTCATGCCTAAACAGGATTTTTCTGGAAAAGTAATTAAGTAACTTTCACCTTGATTTTGACCCTAATTTAATGATGGAATTAGGAAGTTTCAATAGAAAGAGTTTATTTGTTGGCTCTATGTGGTTAGCTTTCCAATGGGTTTTTTGAATCACCCAATCCGGAGTTGTAAATTTGAGAGATATGACCAAAATAGTACAGACTAGCGCAAGCTGAAAAAACACTGACGCGCGCTCGCGAATTTGGCCTGTGGGAACTCTCTGAACTCTCAATTTTGCACTTCTCGCGCTCGCGACATTTCAATTGTATATGCCTCCAATCATTTTAAAACAAAAAGACAACATGAGAACATGTATCAAAACAACATGCAAGCATGCAAATGATGTGAAATGAGGTAAACAATAGGGTGTATGAAGTTCTAAATTCTATGCAATTGTATTCCTTTGCTCAACTTGTATGCCTTCAATCATTTGAAAACAAAAAGACAACATGAACACATGTATAAACACAAAATGTAAGCACGCAAATGATGTGAAACTAACATGACACAAGTTGCCCGCTTGGTGAGGCTATCAGCATACAGGTAAGCAGTATGGTTTATGAAATTATGAAGCAGTATGAAGCAATTAATTTCATGACACATGCATGCAAATTATGACACAAGCATGTGAAAAATAACATAACACAAGCATGCAAAATATGACATAGTTACTATGCTTTTGTTTTATTTAGTGACATACCATTAATATGCTCCATTGAGGTTAGGTAGAAACCACTTAGATAAGACTATGTCGCGACATAGAATAGCAGATCTGCGCCCCATACAAGGCCGTTGAGTGGATAATGATTATAATAAATGGCCACAAGCAGCCCAATCATACGGTAGTTTCAATACAGTTTCATACAGTTTTTCTTATGTCCACTTTGGTTTCAATATAAACCGCTTATGGATGCTATAAGACATTATATTAACTACAAAAATTGCATAATCATACAGTATAATGAGCAGCAAGTACGATAATGAGAGTATCATGATATGCGTGCTTACATTCCATATGTGATTACATGTTTATTGATACATATGTATGTGCATACTTGTTTCTTTATTCGTTGCGATATTGACTGAGTTTGAATAAAAGTGGCAGAATTCATACAACATAAGGAACATCAGGTACGATCATGAAAGTATAATGTTATGTGTGCTTAATAGTTTCTTATGGAGCCATACAGTTATGAAATTTTATGATTCATGCCTTATATGATGTGACTAAAAAGTGCATAAGTCATACAGTATAATGAACAGTAAGTAAGACAATGAAAATATAATGTTATGTGTTCCTACATGTTTATTTATTTAATTCATAGAGCATAATGAACAGTAGGTAAGATCATGATAGTATCATGATATGTGTGATTAAAGGTTCATGTAAAGGAGTTATGAGATAATTAGAACTCAATTAGTTATTGTAAAAGGAGCTATGGATAATTAGAACTAAATTATTTATGGTATGAATTACAAGTTTTTTTCTTTGCTATAAAGATACATTGAATTGTTGAAAATTATACTGAATCTATGATTTTCCAATGCTTTATTGAAAATTTTGTATTTTTAAGTTTAGTTGGGCCAAATCACCTTTGGTTAAGTATGTGAATTAATGAGCACACTGAGTTTAATACTCAGCGCTCCGATTTTTATCAAACGCGTAGGTTTGAAGATCGTGGTTGCTAACTTGAAAGAGTACTATAAAAGCAGAAAGTGATTAATTTGGTCATAGTAGATTGAGAGTTGTATAGATTAAGAATTATGGCAATGTATAATTAATTACTATTTGTTAGAGCTTAATGTGATTGTAAATATAAGGAAAGCATGTAATTATTTGGTGTAAGTAGTTGGAGATAAGAATAATATCTTATGAAAATGATTGAATTATGAAAATATTTTACTAATAAGTTGGTATGATTAGGTCAATAAAGTTCTTGATATAATAATAATGGAATGCAAATTATTGCTGGATATTAAAATGCTATTGAGGATTTATACAATTATGAAAAAGATATATAAAGTGTTATTGTGTTTTATGATGAATTATTTTGGAGATGTTGAAAGTTTAGAAGTTTCATTGGGAAGTGTTTTTTTTTGTATATATTTAGCATACAGGATGAATATCCAGTCAGCATGACAGGACATAAGTTCAACCAGATTGTAGCGTCTCGGCTCGGTTCATTCGGGTTAACGGGTGGACCGGGAAGGGATGTTACACTACAAATAGTTTCTCCCCTTCATAATCAGCTACTTGAGCAACATTTTTCTGCTGTAGATCATCTTGAGCTACAACCTTGCTCTTGCATATTTTCTGATAATGTCCCATTTTCTAGCACTTCTCATATTTCACATCAGGTCTCCTCCAACATTTCGATGGTGGATGACCCTTTTTGTTGTAGTGCTTACAAGGAGGAAAGTCAGACTTTGTTGAATCTGAACCCTCCTTCTTGTTTCCTTTGTACTTCCCTTTCCCTCCTTGATTTGTTTGCACCTTTGCAGCCAATGCTCCTTCAACAGAACCTTCACTTCTTATAAGCCTTCTCTGTTCTTGAGCCTGCAAAGCATGTATCAATTCTGCCAAGCCAATCTTTGACAGATCCTTAGTATTTTCCAAAGAAGAGATGGTAGCTTCAAATCTTTCCGGGACAGTAATAAGAATTTTTGAACTATTCTTGTATCAGCAAATTCAGAACCAAATAATCATACCTTGTTTACGATATTGAGAAGTCTTAATCATACCTTGTTTACGATATTGAGAAGTCTATCTGAATACTCTAATAGTTTCAGATTCCTTCATTTTCTGCATCTCAAATTCTCTAACCAGATTCAACACTTGCATTCCTTTAATCTTCTCATTTCCCTCGTACTCCTTCTTGAGATAGTTCCATATATCAAAGGCTGTTTTCAAGGTCATGATTCTAGTGAAAATTGAAGATGAAACTGCAGGAAACAAACAGCATTTGGCCTTGGACTTCCTTGCCTTCCTTTCTTTGAAATTCTTCATTTGAGCCACTGTAGGATTGTCGGGTAGTGGAAGCACTTGGTAGTCTTCCTCAACAGCCTCCCAAAGATCATTTGCATCCAGGTAAGCCTCCATTCCGATTGCCCAAACTTGATAATTTTCTCCATTGAACACAGGAGGTGCAATGGCATTGAAAGGAGTTTCTGCACTCGAAGCCTCCATTTTGGTGAATATACACCTCCATTTTGGTGAATATACATCAAATTCCTCACAGTACCCTTAAGAAGAGGGCTCGATAACACAGTATTTGTTGGAGCAAACTAAAAGAAATAACAGAGGAAAAAAAAGAATATTGCAGTGTAACTTTTTTATTAACTGCAAATGTACTTAAATACAAAAAAAAAAGAATAACAGAAATTCCTAATATTTCAGCTCAAACATGGAAATTCCTATATTTCAGCTCAACCATGGAACATGCCTCCATGTTTAACAACTCAGCTAGAAAAATGGAAATAATGACTGAAATGCAGTAGAACAAGTCAAAACATAACAGAAAAAGAAAAAATGCAGCAACTAAATTAGAAGTGCAACAGCTAAGTCAACTTCTTAACAAATGTCAATATTCCCTTTTCTTTTATATCCTTTTGCTGTACTCTACAGAAATAGAGCAATGCATAAAATCAAATCTGGACTCTGATTAGACAATTTCTTGCTACTCTACAACACAAATCTCCTGATCAGGTGTGGTCACACAAGTATGTTAATCATAGGTCACTTTGTCATTTGCAAATATAATTTGATATATGGTTCCTACTTCCTAGTCTTAATAATACTACACTTTGAGGAATTTTCTTGTAATATTGAAGTGTTAGGAATAGCAAAATTACATGATACATTCAGCCATGTTTTTATAATTGACACATCCCTCAAACCTTCTTGGTAAAATCTTTTAAGGGGTTTATTTTCTAAAACATCATTCATCTATAACTTTATTCATTTTCGTTAGAAATATCAGAGTTTCAGCATTAGATAAACATAGATATACAAATATCAGAGTTTAAGTTAGGTTCTTGCTGAATATTTAGTGCAATAGCTCCAAGGACTCACTCTGATACAACAAGAACAAGCAATGCCAATCTAACAGTAAATTACGAAAGGAAGCACTGTGGGGAACTGAAATTGTGGAGGAGAGATTAATGGATGGAGTAGATGAAACGACTAAACAATAAATGTAGTACAAGTCAAATTTGTTAGGGGCCCGACAATAAAAAATTACGAGAATAATTACGCAGTGGAAAAATAAAAATATGACATAGAGAAATTTAACGTGGTTCACCCTTAACTGTTTAGGTAGAGAAATTTAACGTGGTTCACCCTTAACTGTTTAGGGCTACGTCCACGGGACCAACTCCAAATAATTCTTCTCCGATTAAAAATAGTATGCTTACAAAGAGAGTAATACAAAAATAGTGGCACTCATAAGTGTTTTCCAAAAACACCAAAATTATCCTCACTGTTTTTCCCTACCCTAGTTTTAGGACCCTTCCTAAAACTGAATAGCTCTCTCCCTCTCAAACATAGAATTTTCTTTCTCTTTTGTGTTTTTTTTTTTTCTTCTTGTTGGTGTGCCTTTAGTTGAGGTAATCTTCTCCTATTTATAGGAGAAGAGGATACGTAATTGACGCGTCCACCGACTGAAGCGTCAATTACAGCATCGATTACTTTCTCCTTTTTTTTTCTTTTTCAAAAGCGTGTGGTCCTACTTGAGTGGGCAAGGCCACAACAAATCTCCCCCTGCACACTCAAGTGGGGACATTAGCCATACTCTCCATCATCCCTGCTGCTAATCGATAATATTCAAGCTTATCTTTTGGAAGAATCTTCGTTAACATATCTGATCCATTTTCATCTGTATGGATCTTCTCAAGCTATAACTACTTCATCTCTAGGACATCCCTAATCCTATGATATCTAACATTAATGTGATTTGATCTTGAATGAAAGGAGGAATTCTTCCCAAGATGAATTGCACTCTGGCTATCGCAGAATATCAAATATCGTTCTTGATGAATTCCGAAATAATCGTTTTCTTGATAATTCCGAGTTCATCAGAACTTCTATTATTCCGCAAACAAACTCCCTTGCATGCTTCCTGTAAGTGCTATAAATTCTCTCAATTTGTTGATAGAGGCAACATACTTCTAAGTAATCCCTTGACTGCACAGATGACAAAACGGCTGCCCACACGGCTCCCCCTGCAAATGTGATTAGATATCCTGATGTAGACTTTCTTGAGTCAGCATCCCCAGCCATATCTGCATCGGTATAACCGACTAATTCTGGCTTATCATATCCAAAGCATAAACATATTTTGGTTGTACCTCGAAGATACCTGAAAATCCATTTCACTGCAGCCTAATGTTCCTTTCCAGGATTTGAAAGAAACCGACTCTCTACTCTGACTGAGTGAGCAATATATGGCCGTGTACAAACCATGACATACATCAAGCTCCCAACTGCTAAAGCATATGGAATCTTTTCCATTTCTTCCTTCTCTCCATCGGTAGAAGGGCACTATTTTGAGCTTAATTTAAAGTGATTAGCAAGAAGTGATTAGCAAGAGGACAACTAACCGCTTTAGCATTCTCCATAATTAAACCTTTGAGTACTTTCTTCAGTGTACTTACTTCTCCTGTGACAACCATAATTTCTTAGTTCTTCAATTCCTTGTAATCTTCATGCTAAGAATCTGCTTTGCTGGTCCCAAGCCTTTCATAGCAGAAGACTTACTTAGTTGTTTCTTCAAGCTATTAATTCTGACAGAATTCTGACCAACAATGAACATATCTTCTACATAGAGTAAAAGAATAATGTAGTCATCATTAGAGAATTTCTTTACAAAGAAACAATGATCTGAAGTAGTCTTTTTGTAACCTTGCTCCCCCATAACAGATTTAAACTTCTTATACCACTGTCTTAGTGCCTATTTTAAACCATACAAGCTTTTCTTCAACTTACATACATAGTACTCTTTTCCGTTTTCGATGAAACCCTCTGGCTGCTCCATGTATATTTCTTCTTATGTATATTTCTTCTTCCAAGTCACCAATGGTAGGAAAGGCAGTCTTCACATCCATTTGCTCGATTTCCAGATTAAAACTGGCGGCCATCCCAGCATTGTCCCGAAATGGATGTCATTTTCACGACTGGTGAAAAGATTTCATCAAAATCAATAACCTTTCTTTGATTTGAATTCCTTTCACAACTAGTCAGCTTTGGATCAATGGTTGGGAGCTGTGTTTTTCCTGCTTGATGCCTAAACACCCCACTTGTTCTTAAAAGCTTTCTTGCCTTTGGGCCAACTTCACCAGCTCAAATATGTTTTATTCTCATGCAAGGACTTCATTTCATCTTGCATGGCTTCAATCCAGTTCCTTTTGTGTTCATTTTCCATAGCTTCTTCAAAGCTTTCAAGTTCTCCTCCGTCAGTCATCAGTACATACTCATTGACTGAATATCTAGTAGATGGTTGTCTGACTCTACTAAACCTTCTTAATGTTCGAGAACCTTCTGGTGCTGGTGGCTGAACATGAACACCATCAAAATCGTCTTCTGGTTCATTATGATAAGGAACTTCTGGATTTTCTAACTTTGGCTCTTGTTCTTGTGAAAATTTTCTTTATCTCCAACTTGTCTTTGTTCTATTGTTGGAGGAACTATTTGCATATTTGTTGAATCATCTTCAAATCTATCGGCAGCTTACTTCTGAGTCTTTTCAACATCTTCAATATTCTGATTTTCAACAAATACAGCATCTCTACTTCTTATCATCTTTTTCCAGACTGGATCATAAAATCTATAGCCAAATTGATCTTGGTCATAGCCAATGAATACACATTGTCGAGTCTTGACATCAAGCTTAGACCTCTCATCCTTAACATCAAGCTTAAAAGAACCTCTCATCCTTAGGAATATGCCACGAAGGCTGTGCAACCAAAACACCCCACAAATTGATCAAATAAAGAAACATCCTTTCCTGACCAATACTCTTTCTGGAGTATCATACTGTAAGAGGAAACACAAAGGTGAACGATTTATAAAGTGAACATGCTGTAATAGAAAGAGCTTCACCCCAAAATCTTTTAAGACAACTTTGCATGTTGAAGTAAACATTCTGACTCTCTCCATCAAAGTTCTGTTCAATCTCTCAACCCAAACCATTCAGTTGAGGCCTCTTGGGAGGTTTGTTTGAGTGTCCCCGAATACCAATTACTCCTTTGCAGAAAAGCATTAAATTACCCAGTGTATTTCTCCACCATCATTCTGTAATGAGCACTTCAAGCTTTTTGCCTGTCTGTCTCCTTCAACCAAGTTTAGAAAATTTGTTTAAAAAACATCTAAAACTTGAATCTTTAGGACTTTCAAAGTATATACCTAAGGTCTTCCCTAGAATGGTATCCAAATAAAATGTTACGAAGTATCGATTTCCAACCATATGACCTATCGTCAAAGGTCCACACAACTGAATGTAACCAGAATCTAACACATTCTTCATTCTGGAAGGGCTGAGAATCTTAAAAAGTTACTCTTATTCTGTTTTCCTGCCATACAATCAGAACACTTCTCTAAATGGACTTTATTCAATCCAGATAGCATGTTGTTTCTAACCAGAGTTGTCATTCCTTTTTCACTCATGTGGCCTAGTCGTTTTGTGCCACAATTCAACCGTACTATCATCCTCTGCTACATTTAAAATATCTTGGGAGAGCTTCATATGCATTATGTACAACTTTGGGTCTTTCCTTCCGTTGGCTATCATCATGGAACCTTTAGTGAGCTTCCACTGACCATTTCTGAAGGTGCTACAGAAATCTTCAGCATCAAGTCTGCCAACCGAGATTAAATTAGAATTCAAGTCTGCCAACCGAGATTAAATTAGAATGCATATCTGGTACATGCTCGACATCTTTTAGAATTAATCTCGAGCCATTTTTTGTCTCTAAGCAAATGTCTCCCTTCCCGACGACTTTCAACAGTTTGTTGTCCGCTATCTTGACCACACCCAGATCATCTGGTGTGTAAGATGAAAAATTTTCTCTCTGGGATGTTGCATGAAGTGTAGCCCCACTATCAATTACCCAACTGGTCCCTTGGGTTGCAAGGTTGATACTGTCTTCAATGAACAATTGGAACTCAATAATAACATTAGCTTCATCATCACTGCTTTCTTCTTTCTTTGCTTTGCCTTGGATCTTCTCTTGATCACTTTTGAACTTCCGGCAATACCTTTTAATGTGCCCCTTCTTCCCACAGTGACCCACAATGATGACACACAATATTGGCAAATTTGTTTGATTTACCCCCCTGTTCTTATCTCTTTTATTTGAACTTCTAGATTGGCTCCTCCCTCTAGAATGGTTAGTTCTTTTAGCGTCTACTAAAAGAATGTCTGACTGAGATGAAGAAGGATTCTGCCCTTTACATCTCATTTCTTCATTCAGAACAGTATTTTTAACAAATTCCCAGCTAACTCCACTATGTGGTGTAGAGTTTGTTATTGATATTTTCAAAGTCTCCCGTGACTCTGGTAAGGAGGCAAGCACCATAAGGCCGCTCTAGTAAGGAGGCAAGCACCATAAGGCCAAGGATTTTATCATCAAATTTTATGCCCATATTTGACAGCTGGTGAATAGTCGCCTGTATTTCACTTAAGTGATCTGCTATAGAATTACCTTCTTGGTATTTGAAATTCATCAGCTTCGTCAAATAGAACTCTTGATTATTGCCAGATTTTGAGGCATATAGCTCTTTAAGCTTGTTCCATAATGTTTTGGCATGAGTCTCGTTACAAATGTGGTTGTACACATTGTCATCGACAAATTGTCGATTATAGCTGCAAACTTGCTCATGCTCGAAAGCCCATTCTTCATCAGTCTTGTCTTCGGTTTACTTGAACTAAACATGGGCAAATGCATTTTGGTTACCATAAGGAGATCTCTCATTTTATTTCTCCATATATGGTAATTTGCGCCATATAGACTGATCATATTTCTTGTTCTAACCTCCATAACCTTTGAGTGAACAGTATCCGTATACATAAATAGTACTAGTATACGAGAATAGTAACTGTACATGTAAATAGTACTATACGTGAATAGTACTGAGCTTAATAGTGATGGACTTAGCAACAGTAACGCCAATAGTAACTGTTCACCATCAACTTTGAGTTACTATTTTACTATTCATTGCTAAGTCGATTCTGCAGCGTCTTTCCGAGCAGACAGCACTAATGAACTCGTCGTAATTTTCTATTCGTCGTGGTATATTTATTTTTGAAATGTATCCACGGATCCGGTACCGCTATCTCAACGGCTCGACCTATCAAAACTTTCGGCTCTGATACCACTTGTTAGGGCCAGCAATAAAAAATTACGAGAATAATTACGCAGCGAAAAAATAAAAATATGACAGAGAAATTTAATGTGGTTCACCCTTAACTGTTTGGAGCTACGTTTACGGGACCAACTCCAATATAATTCTTAACCTATTAAAAATAGTAGGCGTACAAAGAGAGTAATGCAAAAATACGAGCACTCAAAAGTGTTTCCCAAAAACACCTAAATTATCCTCACTATTTTCGAGCACTCAAAAGTGTTTCCCAAAAACACCTAAATTATCCTCACTATTTTTCCCTACTCTAGTTTTAGGACCCTTCTTAAAACTGAATAACTCTCTCCCTCTCAAACACAGAATTTTCTTTCTTGTTGGTGTGCCTTTGATTGAGGTAATCTTTTCCAATTCATGCGAGAAGAGGAAGCGTCCATTACTTTCTCCTTTTTATTTTTTTTTTTCTTTTTCAAAAGTGTGTTCAGTGGCATCGCCCAACAAAGTTGAGCATCAATCCTCCTTTATTGATCATCTTAGCATCAATCCTCCTGTCTTGATCACCTTAGTACATTTGATAAAGAGCCAGGGCAAAGGAAACCAACAGCCAATGAACCATGTTCATTAATGACTAAGAATTGAAAAAAGTGTCAAGCATGATCTCAAAAAACTCATCCCAGTGATTTTGGTTGAAGTAAAGATCCAATCTTTTCCAATTCTAACGATTCATAACTCAAAGCTACACGCTCTCAAAAGAAAGCCCAAGAACAAAACACGCTTATCTCTTGGTTTTGTAGTATTTCAGTTTACCTCTCTCCGCCTCTCAATTCCTCCAAAAACTTCCTTGTGATCTGACATAATGGCCGGCAAAGGCAAAGTACCGGCTATTGGAATCGATTTGGGTACTACCTACTCCTGTGTTGGTGTTTGGCAACATGATAGAGTTGAGATCATAGCCAATGACCAAGGGAACAGAACTACACCGTCTCACGTTGCATTTACCGATAGCGTTGCATTTACCGATAGCGAACGTTTGATTGGTGATGCTGCTAAAAACCAGGTCGGCATGAACCCCGTCAATACAGTCTTCGGTCAGTATTTCTTTTAAACAGCTTCTGTTAATAAGTTTAGGCAATAAAATTCGAGAATTGGTTAAGTTTAAATGGTCAAATTTGTTTGTGTATTAATGCTTGTAGCATTGATGTTTGATGGAACTTTAAGAGTCTATAAGGGTTGATATGTGTTATCTCGTGTAGCCTTTTAATTTCCATTTATCGTTCGGGCTCTCTCTATTGTGCTGCACTTACTAAATGATTTTCTTATGTCGCAGATGCAAAGCGGTTGATTGGTAGGAGATTTAGTGACACTTCAGTTCAGGATGACATCAAGCTCTGGCCTTTCAAGGTTATTTCAGGACCTGGTGATAAGCCCGTGATTGTTGTAAACTACAAGGGTCAGGAGAAGCTGTTTGCTGCTGAGGAAATCTCTTCCATGGTTCTCAGTAAAATGCGTGAGATTGCTGAGGCATACCTTGGTACTACAGTGAAGAATGCAGTGGTCACAGTCCCTGCATATTTCAATGACTTTCAGAGGCAGGCTTTCAGAGGCCAGGCCACAAAGGGATGGCCGGTGCAATTGCTGGTTTCAAATGTTCATGCGTATCATTCAACGAGCCAACAGCTGCACTGCATTACTTTATGTCTTTGACAAGATGGCCAAACAGTGGACGATGAGAAGAATGTGTTGATTTTTGATTTGGGTGTGGACTTTTGATGTCTTCATTGCTCAACAATTAAAGACGGAATCTTTGAGGTCAAAGGGGGGGCCATGGCTGGAGAACACCATCTCGGAGGTGAGACCATTTGACAACAGAATGGTGAACCACCTTGTTCAAGAATTTAAGGAAGAACAAGAAAAGACATCAGTGGAACCCAAGAGCTCTTTGGTGAGGCTGAGAAGCTGCTTGTGAGAAGGGCAAAGAGGGCTCTTTCCTTTACTGCTGTGGCAAACTTATTGAAATTGTGATTTTTTGTACGGCAGGTACTGATTTCTACCTCGCATGACTCGCGCCAGGATGTTGAGGAGCTAATATGGATCTTTTCAGAAAATGTATGGAGCACGTGGAGAAATGTCTGGGGATGCTAAGATGGACAACAGCGTGTGCATGATGTTGTTCTGTTGGTGGATCCACCAGGATTCCCAAGGTTGCAGCAGCTATTGCAAGATTTTCTTTAATGGTAAAGAGCTGTTGCATAGGAGTATTAACCCAATTGAAGCCGTTTGCTTATGGTGCTTGCTGGTCCAGGCTTGCCATCTTGAGTGGTGAGGCAATGAGAAGGTCCAGGATCTTGTGTTGTTGGATGTTACCCCCTGTCCCTTGGTCTGAAAACTAGTGGTGTTGTCATGTCAGTTTGATCCCAAAAGGAAAAACACAACAGATTCCCACAAAAGAAGGAAAAAAGTTTTCACCCACCGTCATTGACGACCAACCTAAAGTGTTTATTCAGGGTCTACGAGGGTGAGAGAAGCAGAAACAAAGGACAACAACTTGCTCGGTAAAATTTGAGCTCTGTGGCATCCACCAGCACCCAAGGTTTGTTTCCTCAGGATTTCCTGTTTGCTTTGTATTGATGCAATGGCACTTGAATGTCTCAGCTGAGGATAAGACCTACTGGGCCAAAAGAACATAATCTCAATTACAAGTGATAAGGTAGGGTTGTCCAAGGAAGAAATTATGAGAAGATGATCTGGAGGCTCAGAAGTACAAGGGCCGGAAGATGAGGAGCACAAAGAAAAATGTGGAGGGCAATGAATGCTTGAGTACTATGCCTACAACATAGGATACACTGTCAAGGATGAGAAAGATTTCTGTTCCAAGTTGCCGCGGTGATAAGAATAACGATTTAAGGATGCTGTTTATAAGACCATTCAGTGGCTGAGGCAGAAAACAGCTTGCAAAGGGCCAGAGGAGTTCGAGGACAAATGAAACGCTTTAGAGCATCTGCAATCCCACTTGCCGAGGAGTGTATGGTGCTGACATGGGTGGGCGGGCATGGAGATGATGTTCTCCAGCATGTGCAGTGGTTTGCTGAAGTGGCTTGTTTGATGCTTGAGTAAAGATGGTGATGAATATTTATTTTCTTATTGGTCAGTATGTTATTATTATTTTTTTTTTAATATTTTCTACTAAGACATTATATCAACGACTTACTCCAATTTTTTATTGTCAAGAAGATATTTAGCTTTATTTTCAAGTTTGCTACATCAATGGCTTCTGGGTTATTTAATTTGCCGATTTACGAAAAGCCAGTGTATATTATTTGTGTCTTATTACTGATTTTTGTTCTATTTTCCAATTTGTGGCCATTTACCATTAGCGGGCATTGGTTGATTTTGGTTCCAAGCTAATTTGTTTGTTGAAAACCAGTTGTAGTTTAGCTTAGTAGGGATTCAATATTATCATTGTATATGCAAATTTAGGTGCTTGGGAACGGCCGATTTAGTTTTAAAATGGTGTGCAATATAATGTCAAGTCTGTTGATTAGAAAGAACAGAGATTAACAAAGAGAAGATAAATTTGCAGAGGAATTATGTAAATGTGGAGAAAAAGATCTTATCTTCATTACAAGTAGAGTGAAAATATTATTACAAGAGTTATTTTCTAAAATTTGTTCACCAACCTCCATAAATTAGAAAAAGGTTTTTGTCTTCCGAATTAAAGCTCTTAAAGGCAGGGTACATCACATACTTTTTCAAGTACTACTTTCTTGACTTCAACTAATACCCAAGAGATGGGGATTACAACATAACAAATTAAAACAAAATCTAAATACTTTAGCAAAATAAATCTTCCAATCAGCTACATATTTATCAAGCAAAATACATCAAATATCTACGGCAACACTTGTATCGAATTTTTACTTCAATGGAGCTTGTAGTTGAACCTTAACACTCCTCCTTGATGTCAAGAGTTGAGGACAAACACCAAGTCTATTCCTGGAAACTCAAATTGATAGCTTTGCAATGGCTTGGTGAAAATATATGCTTTGGGTCTTCAGAACAGCAATGGATAATTTGAATTTCATATCATTTTCAGCTTCAACGAATTGCATTGATACTTGTTTTTTATATTAAGTTTGGTTTTCCATGGAAGATTGGATCTTAACCATAGCAACAGTGATTGTTTATCACAAAGTATTTTAGTTGGATTCTCTTGGATGAAATTTCAGGATGAGCTAACACTTTCTCAAACAAATTGCTTGGTTTACAGCAGCAGATGCTTCAACATAACTCTACCCGCAGTTGACTGAGCAACTGAAGCTTGCTTTCTTGTTCCCCAGCAAATGACAGCAGAACCAAAGTTTGAAAAACAAAAAACCAGTAGTGCTTTCATATCGTCCAATGAAAACCCAATCACTGTCTGAGAACCCAACAACTTCACACCATTTATCTTCTATAAAACAAACCAAATCCAGCAGTCCCTTGACCATATCTCAGAACCCGTTTGCTGCTTCTTAAGATGTTTCAATTGGTGGAATTCATTGAATCTCACAGTAAATTTGTTTTTGCAAACATGATATCTTGGTCTATTACAACATAAATAAAGCCAAGAACCAACCATGTCCTATAAATTGAGCATTTATAGGCAAGTGAGAATCATCCATTCCTTTTGCAATTATTTCAGGGCTGTAGGTTGTATCTCACTGGTTTGCATTTTGCTAGTATCAAAATTTTTTTAAGCAACTCCAAGTTAGGGTGGACGGTTCCGGAATCGAACCGAAAATGTTCAGTTTCGGTTCCGGTTGGGAACCGTCCAGGTGGGACAAAACGACGGTTCTAATCGATTTTCCTGCGAATCACATTAATTTTAAATTTTAAATTTTTGAAGGACCGGTTTAAAAAAATATATTGAAACATAAAAATTAAAAATACTTCAATTAAATTATTTTTAAAGACGAACATAATATTTTTTTTAAAAAAAAAAATTCAACTAATTTTATTTTTGTTTAAAAAAGTTTGAACATAATTTTAAAAAAAAAAAAGGGCTTGAACTTAATTTTTTTTTTAAAAAAAAAAAATTAGTGTCTATGATCCTCTTGGGGGTTTAGAGGAATCAAAGCCCGCGTAGTTCACTTATCTTATACCCAATTTCACCCCCTTTTACCTTGAATCACTATTTGTACCACTTATTGATGTTTTCCCGTGAGGACCCATCGTAATAAAATCATATATAAATCTTCATTTCTTTGGATTATCTTGGGACTTAGTTCGGGCCTTGCTCCAATCCATCCACGCATGATTGTGCTTCTAATGAATCGGTGTCATGCGAGATCGTTGTCATCAAGTATGTTTCCTCCTTGACTTAAAAGCTTGTTCCAACCGCAACAGTGGAGCCGAAGCTGCTAAAACTTGTTTTGAATTAAAGAAAGAATTGGAAAAGTATTTGCGTGACGACTCCACCAATCTAAAATTGGAAATCAGTATCTGCATAATTCATTACCAAACTCAAAACAAGTAAAAGGGTTTAGATAATTAATCAAAATTCAGAAAAAAGAACTGGGGATTCCCTTGTTCTTTTTTGTCCTTTTCTAGTTAAAACTTGTGAGCAACACAACACCACTTACCGTTTGCTGTTGGAAATTGTTGAATATTTAGATTGAGAAGAAGTAGAAAGTAGATGAACTAGAACTTGAAAAAATTCATTATATAATATGCATAATATTTTGTTTTACTCTGCATTACTACCATTTATATTAACCATTATCTTCTACATCAAGATTTAATACTTCATAATAAATAAGTCAAATTTAATCACACAAAACATCAATACATCTAGGATCAAATACAATGAGCAACAAGATAAAAGGTGTTATATTTAAAATAAGATAACCATTTTTTTTTATTGAAAAATACAATCTTTAATAAATCATTCAATTTTCAAATTTTGAGAAGTGCAACTAAACAATAATTAATTACACGTAGATAAAAAATAAATGAGATGTGGGAAATAATCCCACTAAATTTATAGGTAGCATCATTAAAAATTTAAAATATCTAAAATTTTGCACCAAATATCCCAATTTGTGGATATAAATTAATATCCTCAATATTATTTAGTAACAAAAAAGCATAAAATTTCTTTATAAGAAAAGACTGTTTTTAGTAATTCATATGTTGAATTCCAACGAGTTGGGACATCCCTTGGAAAAATATTTTGGTCTTTTTTATTTTTCTTTACAAAATTTTAACCCAAACTTTTCATCACTTGGGGACTGTTCCCATAAATATGAAATAGCTTTATTGGAAGAAAAAAAATATTCAAGTGAATTTTTAAACCAATCTTTATACCACATAAATTTTAAACATGGCATGCACATCTAGTATGAAAAATTCCACCAATATTTATTCATCAAAATATTAAGTTCATAATTATTATGTATCTTGCAGAAGCATTATCATGAAATTTGAAAAAAATTTTTTTGTCAACTTATATTCATCTAAAATTTGAAAACAATTTTCTATTAAATATTATTGCAAATATGTTTTATCATCAAAAAACACGAAAGCAATATCGTTTGAATTTCCAATCATCATCAATCCAATGACATGTAATACCCCTATAAGAATTGCATTGCCAAATGATCATCTCCAAAATATACAACAAATTAAAAACACAAATTTTCATTTTGAGAAAATAAAAGCTCTAACTTCTTTTTTTCCTTTATATATAAAGAAATAATAGTTCGTTTTTACAGTATCTTGGGTACTCTTTTAGCAGAAGGATTAAAACTTTTTGACAATAATTATTAAAACCTACTTTTTCACCAAAAACTAAAAGATAAAATGTGTCATAGAAAATCATTTTGCTAATTCGTTCTTTTGTATTTTTTTCAGAATATTGAATAAAGAAATGTTAGGAAGATGGCGTACCCGAAAATTTGTGTTTGAGACCGATCAACTTCCTATTTTTGTTGGATGTTTTGTCTCCAAATGCTCCAAAATGATCCGCATTAGCCGCTGCTTGTTTAAATTTATGAATTTTTCACAATTAATTGCAAATTAATCGTTACATTTTTCTCACCTTTGAAATTTTTTTCGTGAAATGATGGCGAATATGTCGGAACTTGTCTTCGCTCTTTCCAACA